AGGGGCTTTGTGTTGAGCAATGTGGAGTGTTCCTTGGGCATTCATCAGCAGCATGCCTAGTAGCAGAGCTGAGAAATGGCTGTCCCGACAGAAGTGCTCTGCCTTGAACATTTCTGATCACTAATTGTAATCCATTAACATCTCGAATAAATACTCTAACTGTGAGTATGCTCTGTGAGTTCTACGTGGTCATTTAAATCAATTATCAAATCCAGAAATAAAGAAAAATTTAAAAGTTCTACAAGGGAGAGTTGGTATCAGAATTGGGAAGAAGTTTTGAGGCTGGAGGATTTCTGACATCAACCTCAAAGGAATTGGCCTCAGGCTAACAAGTTTGACTGTTTTTTTCTGGCAAAGTCAGACCAGATCACATAACTTACTGGAAGTCTCCACACTATTGTTTGGGTGAAATCTTTTTTTTTTTTTTTTTTTGCTGAATTTGTTGGAACTTTATTTATGTCTTGGAAATTATTAAATTTCAAATAAATTTCCCCAGTTGTGGGTTCCAATGTTATATATACAGTTTTGTACACTGCAGTCTTTTTTCACTAAAAAATATCGATCTTTAATTTTATAAAATCTTCGTATATTTACTCAAATATTTCATTTCAATTTTTCCTGAGCTTAAATATAGGTTGTTTATAATTTTACTTCTTTCCTTCAAGCTTCAACTGTAAAAAAATAAATAAATGATCCAAGTTTCTATCCCTTCCTGATGCATTTCTCAACCTCCTCCTACAGCCTACTCCTTCATTTATTTTTAGTTCCATACCCATTCTGTTCTGTATGCTAGCTTCTGGAATCTTTATACCAATTACCCAAAGCAATATGCTGATAAATGCACATCAAATTTCAAACATCATTTTTTAAAGAGATAGAAAAACTAATTACCAAATTTAGTTAGAGAAGAGATCCACCAATCCCATGCAAAACACTGTTTAAGAAGAACAAAGTAGGAAGCCTAACATGTCTCGGTTTAAATATACTGTACAGTCACAATAGCCTGGTGCTGGTACAGGGACAGATACATGGACCATAGGAATAAAATTGGGAAACTAGAAGTATATCCTTCTATCTATGAACAGTTTATTTTTGACAAATGGATGAAGTGTATTAAAATGAAAAGAAAGTGTCTTTAACAAATGATATTGGCAAAACAAGCTATCCCTTTGCAAAGAAATGAAACAGGACCCATATATTGCAGCAAACACAGAAATGAATTCAAGATGTATCAAAGACCTAAGTGTAAAACCTAGAACTATAAAGATCATCAGGGAAAATCTAGAGGCAAATGAGGATGTACTAATACTTGGCATAAGTACACTGTCAACGATATCTGGCAGTATTATCTATTACACAAACAGAAAAATATAAACTC